AACATGGCGCAGTGTAACCTTGTTTGCAAACGATTTGAAAAATGTAAATTCTGAGTAAAAAACAGATTGTAATTTCATTTCAATCAAGTATTTTTTAAAAGAAATATTTAAAATTTAACCATACACAGCTTAAAATAAAACCAAGCTAATTGTTAAAAATCGCGAAAAAACTTTTCCTCCAGCATACCTTTAAGGTGATATCTAATCTGCTTGGACTGCACATTGTCCAGCTGTCCGCCCGGCGTCCTTTATCCTGCGTCCATCGTCCTTTTCCTAGCCCTTTGCGCTCTGCGGCGCCATTGCCTTTTGACTAAGCCCAAAACCATTAACACTTGTTTCTGTCATTTTACCTGAAAAGCGGAAGCGCTTTTGTTTCTGTGCAACAAACAAGTTTCCTTGCCACGCTGCCAACTGGCAACTCGCAACTGGCAACTGCCCCTGGCCTAGTCACATTTCCCGCTTTCCCACTTTCCTTTTGCCATTTTCTTTTTTTGACATGGGTATCCGTATCCTAGATTCGTTCTTCGCCGGCTTGCGTCGACCGCCATTCGCTGTACGAGAATTTTCCAGCCCTTGAGCCCCTGAATTTTGGTACATAAGTGCGTTTGCATTCTACCACTTCGAATGAAGTTCACTTCAAATATTACTATTTAAATGTTACTTAACTAAAATCGCTGACAGCTTAAGCGAGTGTATTTATAAGGTAGGTTTAAGACAACCGCTGCTGAAGCAAGGATTTGGTATTAATTTGAATTTAAATTTTTATTGTTTAACTCACACATTTATTTATTTTCACATGATGTTTGCTAGTCTTATTTATACAGTTATCATGCTATGTGTATTGCTTAGCTTTTATGGAACAAGAAAATGTACTTAAAGAAAAGATTTTATTTAAACTCAATCAAAAAGAATCAGTGTGACCCTGAAAACTGGGCATAGTGTGACCTTGTAATTTAAACAAAAGTCATGTGCCCATGCAATCTTTTTAACACCAATTTTTTTCTTGCATTTAATTAAGGTTTAAAGACCAGCAAGTTAAATACTTATGTTCACATTACTGGACTGCCCTGCTGGCAGCATGGGAATGGGTTATGGGCTTGGCATGTCAGCCAACTGGATGAGGGTTCCGCCCCCAGAGCTCCTCCCTCGCCTGGTCATACTTCTACTCATGGACGCAAACTTTTTGCACAGCCTGTCAACGTCAAGGCGTGGCTCACTGGCCTCCATGGCGGTGACTGTACTTCGCCCCCGGCCTAAAGGTGTTCGAGGAAAAGTTCTTGAGCCTCGTAGACTTGATGTTGGGTCCTCACCAGCTGATGCCCCCGTGATGGATGGGTCTCATGGCATTCAGCATTTTCTAGGACTTTTCACACTCATAGATTATTTGCATGATGTTCCGGCTAACACATTTTAAAAACTTCAACGGCCCATGATTTTGTTTAAAAGTTAGCCAAAGGGATTATCTCTGTTTTGCCTATGCAGGTAATGTGTATCCATTTTTAGATTTTTGATCTGTGAGACCAGGTGGATCAATTGAATTTAAATATTTAACAAGTCCATTTCTAAGCAAACTAGTCCACTAGATATCTAATTTTAGCTAGCTATGGTAAAAAAGATGTAGCTGCTTTATAAAAGTTCTTAGAAGTTCGAGAGTCAGTTAAAATGCGTTTTAGAGCTAGATAAATAAGATATTTGGTATTTATTAAGAACTGTTAAACTTCCATAAGGTGGACTTCTTAAGTAAACCTAGTTGTACAGGCAAATAAATCTATATATTAAGTAAAAGTTAAAAAAGTACATCACTTATTAATTATTTAACTCGTTTTGACAAACAAATTATTGAATTTAACAGCTTGCTAAATTAAACGTCTGAGTCAAATTTTTATTTGAAACCTGTGCTACAAACCAAAATGGACAACCAAATTGTGGCGGTAAAATCCGAAATGGAAAGCCAATTTCAGGAAGTGCAGACTACTTTGAGAAAGCAGCAGAAAACCTTTAAAGATGCCCTTAAAACGATCGTCACAAAAGATGATTTCGAGGCAAGACTTCAGGAAGTGCTGACCAAAATGGAGGATCAACAAACTGCCTTTTTAGGAAATGCCGTACTGGCGAACCCAACGACTTGTGTGGAAACAATTAATGGAGTAATGAATGACACTGATTGTGACAAGGTATCTTTCTTTATTTGCCAAGCAGGTAATGAAGTGTAGATAACAACGTTAAGTAAACTTTTAATTATATTCTGGCCAAGAGCCAGCAACTAAGCCCGATCCCTCCTTGTACCTTAAGTTTTCTTCTTTGTAAATAAATAAATAAAAACGAATCTACTTATTTTGAAAGTACTTGTTTTTTCATTATACATCTCTCTGTTTTTTATTGGTTTTCCCGATTTCTGTCCTAGTTTTCACTTTCCTCAAATCGATTCAGTAAGGCATTGGTCTAACCAACTGGATTTATAAATTTATTATAAAACAAAGCCCCATACTGAACGTTTTTTTAGAGCCCCAAGTCCCAACTTTTACCTCTAGAGCACCGTATCCTTCTTCCACTTTCGTCTTTATCCACCTCTATCATCGTTCGTGCACTAAAAAAAAATAATCGAAATTTTAAACATTTTAATTTACAATGAACCTAAACCAAAATGGCTAAATCGAAAAAGAAGGATTTTTAAATTTCAATTAATTGATTTACTAAATAATATTTAAATACAGAATTTAACCATTTATACAAAAATTGCTTAAAAATCTTAATAATATTAAATTGTGAAATGCTAAAATTAAAAACATTTATGCACTTAAAATGCAAACTAATTGATTTTGTGTTTTTTACTTACATTTTTTTTTATTTTCGCAACGGAAAAACATAAAATAAATAAAATTTACAGATCGTTTCCATTTTTGTGGCTCTGTATGATCAATCATTTTTGGCAGTGTGTCCCTTGCTTTATGGCCAAAAAAGGAACCATCATCGAAATCGAAGAAAATTTCTGTTGGTCAGCTCACCGAAGATGAGGAGGTGTTGGGAACTGGAGGAGTGAGGACGGGGATTGGGATTGGGATTGGGTTCGGGGGCGGGTCATGGGATATGGGATATGGCCTGGATTGTGATGCTGTGGGGGATGTGGATGTGGATGCCGATGATGATGATGATGACTGAGCTTGCATAAACGAGTTTGCCCTTAAGTGTGTGCGCATGTTGAAGGATGGGGCGGAGGATCCAAAGATCTGGGTGCAGGGGTGGTGCAAAAAAGGGGGGCGTAGTGGTGGTGCTGCAAATTGGGGGGGGGAGGGGGATGCGGTGGGTGGCAGGATTGGGTATTGGTTGGCAAGGCCGAGGAGCGGCGCAAGGAGAATTTGTGCGTGAGCAGCATATTCGATGTGCCACACACACAGGCAAGTTATTTATGCAGACTCACATACAAAGCATGCAAAGATTTTGCATCACCCCCACCCCCATCAAACCACCACCACCCACTATCCCCACCCACCATCCACCCACTTTCTACCCACAAGCACCCCACAATCCACCCACTCAATGGGCTCTGTGCCAGCATCAAAAGTAGCATCTGCCCGGGAGGTCCGCATACAATTAGCTGCAACTGTAATTAAAGCAATTGTATAATAAATCTTTTGCCAAATGGGAAAAGATCCAACCCCCCCCCCAACCATTCGCCCACGCTTTCACTCCAGCAGGTATATATAATCGGAAAGGGGAACGGGGGCACAGGGGGGTTAAGCAGCGGGTGCCAAGTGAAATGCTAGCCAAGGAAAAACTGAAAAATTAATATAAATTTAATAGTTTTGGCCCCTGGCATTTATGGGGGGCATAAAACGAAGGCGGGTCGTTAAATGCATTCAAATGGATGAGCTAAAAAAAGGTACGGATTCCCAATTAAAAATGAAAGAAATTAAAAAAGTATATCTTAAAGACACTTCGACTTAAACTGATTTCCCATTTAAATCATTTAAATTAAAGTTTTTATACTAAAGTATTGTTTTTAAAATTCAAGTCAAAACTTTTTTAATTTTGAATACAAAATATAACTATATATCTTATACAGTTTAGTTCAAATCATCCCATACAACTTTTAAATATATATGCAATATTTAATTTAAAGTTATGTTATAGTTAGGCAGCTGTGACTTAGGGTATGTTTATATCCTTCACTCAAAACCACATATAAGCTCGTATAATCCTTTATTACAATTTGGCCGCCATTCAAAGACAATTGAAATACCAACTTAGGTCTGCACACAACACTGAGAGAATATTTGTTGTAAAATCAGGAACTGATTTTTAATTAATTTTTTATGAAAACCTTTATTTTCGTCAGATCCGAGGTCGTCAGATTTTTTAAAAATTTTATTCGAAATTCCGAAAGAAATGATATTTCCAAAAGTGGAAGTTACAATGTCGGATAACACCGAACTTATAATTTTGTTTTTGTTTTTATACCCTTGCAGAGGGTATTATGGTTTCAGTCAGAAGTTTGCAACGCAGTGACCCCATAAATTATTTATATTCTTGATCAGCATTACTAGACTAGTTTTATTAAATTATATCTTTGGTGTTTTTTAACATATAGCCTCCTACGCTTGTAAATATCATTTTTTAATTAGTTCTGATTTTCGAATTTATCAAAATCGGACTACTATATCATATAGCTGCCATAGGAACGATCGGAAAATTAGTGGGAAAATAAATGAAACAAATTATAGCTTCGGTGTTTTTGACACATTATCTTGTACTATTGGGAATATCATATTTTGTATTTTTAAGAATTTCGAATTAAATTTAATAATTATAGCTGCAAGGGTATACAAACTTCGGCTTGCCGAAGCTATCTTCCTTTCTTGTTTTTGTGTTATTATAAGCGAAATGAATATTTGAAATAAAAACATTTTGAAGGGAAACCTGATTTAACCTCATATATGGGGTTTATCATCTGTGCAAAGTATCAATTAGTTGTTCCGAGCAATCATTAGTTATTTAATTGGTTTGTTTGGATGTATGTTTATTTGGATTAAAGACAAATATCTAATTCAATGAATTAAGTTTAGAATTGTCCGCATTGTAGTGTATTAGTAAGGTAACGTAAGTAGTTGTGTTGTGTAGAGATGGCCTATAGCCATAGTTTAAGTTTGAGTGCGAGCCACATCTTTGGCAAGATGAGCAGCAGCCCCGTAGTGACAGGACGACGTAATGACCTGGTTTGGAGAATAGTTTTACATCTCCTGGTCCTGGTCTTGTGCTTTCAAAAGCTTTGGCTTCTTAGCCTGTGGAGCGATCGTATCATCTACCGTATCCTGGGAATCGCGCTTTAGCAAGGAATTTGCTTTAGACTGTTTCTGTTCCTCCTCGGATTGGCGAAGAGCTTCGGGTGAAGCTTCTTCCTCCAGGTCCATGACTCCGCCCAGCTGACGGACGTTAATCTGATCCCCGGATTGGCGAAGAGCTTCAGATGGTGATTCTTCCTCCTGCTCACGGCCCACCGCTGACAGTCCCTGTTCGGAGGACACCTGGTCGTCAGAGTTGCATTGTTTTAATGACAGGCGTAACACTAACCTGCTGATCTGCGTCGATTTTCTTGGGGCATACCCCGTCCTTCGAGTCCTTCTCCAGGCCCTCAACAAAGGTGTTCGAAGGCGGTTCCGCCTCGATCTCCGGCTTTTCACCCTTGCCGGAGGTAGTCGCCGACTCGAGAGCTGCAATTCCGGGCTTCTCGGACCCGGTGGCTACGGGCATGATTGCAATCCCCGAGTCCATTGATGCGTCGTTTTCCCCTTTTTGGTTTAAGGAGTCGCCGGAGGTAGACGCCGTCTCGGGAGCTGCGGTTCCGGGCTTCTCGGACCCGGTGGCTATGGTCATTATTGGAAACCCGGCTTCCATTGGTGCATCGTTTTCCCCCTTCTGGTTGAAGGAGACATCGAGGTCGGGCATGTCGGCCATATTGTTCACGTGTGCAAAGTTTTTGCTGGCTGATTTTTTTTAAAACGTCGTCTCGGTGATCCTTACCGCTGCTGAAAACCACTTAGCACCTTGATCCAACACCCCAAATAGGTTAATTAGGGATTATACAAGTTTTAATGCGCTTACTTTCAGTGGGAACCAATTTCACGTTGCGCGAAAATAATTTTAACATTCAATATCTTGACTGATATTTGACAGACACTTAGTGTGGTCGCACGCCATTAGGGCTTGCCAGAATCAGTGTTGCCAGATTACTGCGAGTTGATAATCCCTTAGCAAGTCTGGGCACACTTATTATATCAGTTACGATTCTCCAAAGTAATCCCTTAAGTGACTTTTCCTAATCTTCTGCATGGTTTGATAACTTGGTGGATGGTTTTCAGTGACTTCAAGGATTATTGCTGACCGATGGTAGATATCCGAAAAGTGTTCGATTCCAATGGGATCTTCGCAAGGGGGTTTCTGGTGTTGCTGTTGCTAATCAGCCCGATTGAATTTGGTTTTAGTCCAATTATCTTCAGAATTGAATTTTTGGTTGGGTATAAGAATAAAAATCAAGAAAGGAAGCTAACTTCGGCAAGCCGAAGTTTATATGCCCTTGCAGGTCGTTCTCGTGGGAGCATTGTATGTACAGAGCTTTCCGATTTTCAGAAAACTAAAAACTAATAAAAGAAATTTCAATTTACTAGCGTATGTTTACCGAAAACGAAAAATAACGGTTTTTGTATTATTTTGATTTTAATTAATTATCTGGTCGTTCCTATGGCAGCTACATATATGATAAAGTCGGATACTCTACGATTTAAGGGTGTAATAAATCAACAATTTGTAGTGGACTTGCAGCTAAAGAAATATTAAATTTTATAAAGTAAATTGAAAAATGTAAATTGAAAATCCTTTACGATAGGTTTTATCAAACGAAAATTGCTAACGCAAAAACCTTTTGGAGTTGCTGGGAAATTTGACGCCGACAGTTCAATAGGATTTGTTTCTCTGCTTGATTTGAAGCTGTACATATTGTAGTGCACTGATTTAATTAGAATCAATTAATTTAATTTAATTAGATTAGAATTTTGAACAAAATTTATTTTGATCATACGACTATATCACATAGGTGCCATAGGAAGTGAAAATAAGTGAGAAAATGAAAAATTTTAACCTCGTTGTTTTTTTTTATCATTTTTCCCTCTTCTATACAGCATAGCGATTTAGGTGTAAAATTTGGACGACTAAGTCCTATAACCGTCATGCACTCAGAAAAAACGGATAGAATTTGTTAGGCTTCTTTCATTTTATGTAAGGGGTTAGCTCGGTTTTTTTTGGGATTCAGATTTTGGTCAAAAATACCTATTTTTTAGTGGTTTTTCAGTCGTAGTTTAGCCAAATCAAGGCGCACATTTAAAAGAAAGACTGTTTTGAGCAGCTTGCTAAAAATGCTATCGATTCCAAACACTTTGAGGAACATTTATTTTTTGACCCATTTTGAAATTTTTTCTAAGGGGGTACATCGGTTATTTTTGCGATTCAGATTTTGGTCAAAAATAGTCATTTTTTAGTGGTTTTTCAGTCGTAGTTTAGCCAAATCAAGGTGCACATCTAAAAGAACGACTGTTTTGAACAGCTTGCTAAAAATGCTATCGATTCCTATCACTTTGAGGAACATTTATTTTTTGACCCATTTTCTCATTTTTTCTAAGGGGGTACATCGGTTATTTTTGCGATTCAGATTTTGGTCAAAAATAGTTATTTTTAGTGGTTTTTCAGTCGTAGTTTAGCCAAATCAAGGCGCACATCTAAAAGAACGACTGTTTTGAGCAGCTTGCTAAAAATGCTATCGATTCCAAACACTTTGAGGAACATTTATTTTTTGACCCATTTTCTCATTTTTTCTAAGGGGGTACATCGGTTATTTTTGCGATTCAGATTTTGGTCAAAAATAGTCATTTTTTAGTGGTTTTTCAGTCGTAGTTTAGCCAAATCAAGGTGCACATCTAAAAGAACGACTGTTTTGAACAGCTTGCTAAAAATGCTATCGATTCCTATCACTTTGAGGAACATTTATTTTTTGACCCATTTTCTCATTTTTTCTAAGGGGGTACATCGGTTATTTTTGCGATTCAGATTTTGGTCAAAAATAGTTATTTTTAGTGGTTTTTCAGTCGTAGTTTAGCCAAATCAAGGCGCACATCTAAAAGAACGACTGTTTTGAGCAGCTTGCTAAAAATGCTATCGATTCCAAACACTTTGAGGAACATTTATTTTTTGACCCATTTTCTCATTTTTTCTAAGGGGGTACATCGGTTATTTTTGCGATTCAGATTTTGGTCAAAAATAGTCATTTTTTAGTGGTTTTTCAGCCGTAGTTTAGCCAAATCAAGGCGCACATTTAAAAGAAAGACTGTTTTGAGCAGCTTGCTAAAAATGCTATCGATTCCAAACACTTTGAGGAACATTTATTTTTTGACCCATTTTCTCATTTTTTCTAAGGGGGTACATCGGTTATTTTTGCGATTCAGATTTTGGTCAAAAATAGTCATTTTTTAGTGGTTTTTCAGCCGTAGTTTAGCCAAATCAAGGCGCACATTTAAAAGAAAGACTGTTTTGAGCAGCTTGCTAAAAATGCTATCGATTCCAAACACTTTGAGGAACATTTATTTTTTGACCCATTTTCTCATTTTTTCTAAGGGGGTACATCGGTTATTTTTGCGATTCAGATTTTGGTCAAAAATAGTTATTTTTTAGTGGTTTTTCAGCCGTAGTTTAGCCAAATCAAGGCGCACATTTAAAAGAAAGACTGTTTTGAGCAGCTTGCTAAAAATGCTATCGATTCCAAACACTTTGAGGAACATTTATTTTTTGACCCATTTTCTCATTTTTTCTAAGGGGGTACATCGGTTATTTTTGCGATTCAGATTTTGGTCAAAAATAGTCATTTTTTAGTGGTTTTTCAGCCGTAGTTTAGCCAAATCAAGGCGCACATTTAAAAGAAAGACTGTTTTGAGCAGCTTGCTAAAAATGCTATCGATTCCAAACACTTTGAGGAACATTTATTTTTTGACCCATTTTCTCATTTTTTCTAAGGGGGTACATCGGTTATTTTTGCGATTCAGATTTTGGTCAAAAATAGTCATTTTTTAGTGGTTTTTCAGTCGTAGTTTAGCCAAATCAAGGTGCACATCTAAAAGAACGACTGTTTTGAACAGCTTGCTAAAAATGCTATCGATTCCTATCACTTTGAGGAACATTTATTTTTTGACCCATTTTCTCATTTTTTCTAAGGGGGTACATCGGTTATTTTTGCGATTCAGATTTTGGTCAAAAATAGTCATTGTTTAGTGGTTTTTCAGTCGTAGTTTAGCCAAATCAAGGCGCACATTTAAAAGAAAGACTGTTTTGAGCAGCTTGCTAAAAATGCTATCGATTCCAAACACTTTGAGGAACATTTATTTTTTGACCCATTTTCTCATTTTTTCTAAGGGGGTACATCGGTTATTTTTGCGATTCAGATTTTGGTCAAAAATAGTCATTTTTTAGTGGTTTTTCAGTCGTAGTTTAGCCAAATCAAGGTGCACATCTAAAAGAACGACTGTTTTGAACAGCTTGCTAAAAATGCTATCGATTCCTATCACTTTGAGGAACATTTATTTTTTGACCCATTTTCTCATTTTTTCTAAGGGGGTACATCGGTTATTTTTGCGATTCAGATTTTGGTCAAAAATAGTTATTTTTAGTGGTTTTTCAGTCGTAGTTTAGCCAAATCAAGGCGCACATCTAAAAGAACGACTGTTTTGAGCAGCTTGCTAAAAATGCTATCGATTCCAAACACTTTGAGGAACATTTATTTTTTGACCCATTTTCTCATTTTTTCTAAGGGGGTACATCGGTTATTTTTGCGATTCAGATTTTGGTCAAAAATAGTCATTTTTTAGTGGTTTTTCAGCCGTAGTTTAGCCAAATCAAGGCGCACATTTAAAAGAAAGACTGTTTTGAGCAGCTTGCTAAAAATGCTATCGATTCCAAACACTTTGAGGAACATTTATTTTTTGACCCATTTTCTCATTTTTTCTAAGGGGGTACATCGGTTATTTTTGCGATTCAGATTTTGGTCAAAAATAGTCATTTTTTAGTGGTTTTTCAGCCGTAGTTTAGCCAAATCAAGGCGCACATTTAAAAGAAAGACTGTTTTGAGCAGCTTGCTAAAAATGCTATCGATTCCAAACACTTTGAGGAACATTTATTTTTTGACCCATTTTCTCATTTTTTCTAAGGGGGTACATCGGTTATTTTTGCGATTCAGATTTTGGTCAAAAATAGTTATTTTTTAGTGGTTTTTCAGCCGTAGTTTAGCCAAATCAAGGCGCACATTTAAAAGAAAGACTGTTTTGAGCAGCTTGCTAAAAATGCTATCGATTCCAAACACTTTGAGGAACATTTATTTTTTGACCCATTTTCTCATTTTTTCTAAGGGGGTACATCGGTTATTTTTGCGATTCAGATTTTGGTCAAAAATAGTCATTTTTTAGTGGTTTTTCAGCCGTAGTTTAGCCAAATCAAGGCGCACATTTAAAAGAAAGACTGTTTTGAGCAGCTTGCTAAAAATGCTATCGATTCCAAACACTTTGAGGAACATTTATTTTTTGACCCATTTTCTCAATTTTTCTAAGGGGGTACATCGGTTATTTTTGCGATTCAGATTTTGGTCAAAAATAGTCATTTTTTAGTGGTTTTTCAGTCGTAGTTTAGCCAAATCAAGGTGCACATCTAAAAGAACGACTGTTTTGAACAGCTTGCTAAAAATGCTATCGATTCCTATCACTTTGAGGAACATTTATTTTTTGACCCATTTTCTCATTTTTTCTAAGGGGGTACATCGGTTATTTTTGCGATTCAGATTTTGGTCAAAAATAGTCATTGTTTAGTGGTTTTTCAGTCGTAGTTTAGCCAAATCAAGGCGCACATCCAAAAGAAAGACTGTTTTGAGCAGCTTGCTAAAAATGCTATCGATTCCTATCACTTTGAGGAACATTTATTTTTTGACCCATTTTCTCATTTTTTCTAAGGGGGTACATCGGTTATTTTTGGGATTCAGATTTTGGTCAAAAATAGTCATTTATTAGTGGTTTTTCAGTCGTAGTTTAGCCAAATCAAGGCGCACATCTAAACGAACGACTGTTTTGAGCAGCTTGCTAAAAATGCTATCGATTCCTATCACTT